AATTCAATTGAAGGGTGGCATCGTAGATTCGAAATGCAAATATATGTACAACACCTTAATATCTGGAAGTATATTGAAACGATGCAGTGTCAACAGAGCATCAGAAGATTGCAAATTGAACAATATGTGAGTGGGCATTAAGGCAGCCCTGCGCATAAGAAATAGAGGGATTGCGCTGGGACTCTTCAGAGTAGTTGCGAAGTATAACAACAGTAAGGTTTCAGAGTTTATAAGAGGGTGTGGCACATAATATAAACTACTAATTAGGTACTGCGTGTAAATAATCTTTTTTTTTAAATTAAATTATTCCAATGAAATCTGTTTTATTCGAAATCTACAGGTACATACATCATTATCATTTTCAGGCAAATTAATTCAAAATCAACGGATTTAAATTTTATAGAAATATTGACAATACTTTATGGTACGAAATAAATAAGTTTTTACGTTTCATGGTTTTTAATAAATAAATCGTCGGCGATCAATTGTAGAGTCGGTGAATCTTCCGTTCGACGAATTGCTGGTCGGTGAATTTACCAGTCGATGAATTTTCCGGTCGATGAATTTTCCAGTCGGTGAATTTTCTGTCGGTGAACTTTCCCAGATCCGGGGTAATGACAGACATCTACAAAATCTTTACAAATGATTCTTAATACTACCCAGGTTTCGCATGAGTAGATAAATGTAGTACAATACTCAACTCTGAAAACAAAGTTACCTTCTCACGATGCATAATAAAACACACAAGTCACATGGATCACTTGAACCGAATGGTAATCGGTAATAAATCATACCAGTGGTACCTCGCGTGCCACCTTCATCACGGTCATTATGCCTCTCCCTTCAATTGCGACCATGCTGACTAATGACACAATCTTCTCACTGTCTTGGTCGGCAGCCAAGCGGCCTAGTCCTCCTACGAGGTTGTCAGTCATCGCTGCCCATCACCCATCGGTGAGCTAATCTACCTCTTAGTCGCAACAACTTTTTTTCTGTCTTCGACGACCAAGTCATTCACACCAGTCCTCAGCCTGATCACTGTACTGTGAGTGTGCGCCAAGTGAAATCCCCTAAGTTCCTTTTGCAAGACAGGTAGCTGGCGCTGTTTGGCTTTGACAAATGATCACGTCTGACAGAACCACAATATTGCCGACAGGAAGGCAGAATTGAACAGAGAAACATCGATGATATCCTCTGAAATAAAAAGCGTGCCAGTCGGTCCTCTATATCCGTAGAATCTCTCTCGCCAGCTGATCGCCTTGCCCAAATTAATGTATTTATCGACGTCATCCAACTTCTCGCAGTTTAATATACCTGAGCCTTCGGCAGGACATCCAATGACAGTAGAGTCGAACGATTTGCAGTTGAACTTTTGTACTTTTATGCTGAGTTCTTGCAGCATGTCTTGTAGCTGACCAGTGCTTTCTGGTAACAACACCACGTCACCAGTAGCCTTAACGGGCTGAGATGTTCAACGATGACGTTAATCCCACCCTTCCAGCTTATACTTCTGATTACCACTCCCGAACAGGAAATACGGACAGAAAGTCGAACAGCATGATGCTCGTAAAACAGCAAATATCTAGTTCCTTTACCATGTTCATGCAACAAGTGTCGATACCCTGTTCTGCCTGAACAGTACAAACTGACTTGTATTCGACAGTGCTGAACACATTCTCGAGTTGACAAAGCCTCTTCACAAAGAGAGCTGGTATTTCCTCGCATGATCGAGTTGATTTAAAGTAAAATATTACCCGCTATAATGTGGCTCCCCTTAGAATCCTGACCCTTGGTCCTGTTCATTGGTGACAATCTTAGTTAACAGCTTCCAGATCTGTGAGATCACGCAGATTGGCCGAGAGTTATTCAGATCTTCTTTTCGCCCTTCTTCAATAATACAACTATTTTTGACTCCTTCGGCGTGATGCGGCAGAATATCGTTTCGTAAGAGCACATTTCCGTTTCATCGAATGGCTTTAGACTCAAGGTTAAGATTAATCGCTGAAAAATTTCTTCTGAAACTGACAACATTTCGATAATTTAACCATAATGCCCCTCATGACCACAAACAAACAAATTTTGATAGATTAAGAGTTATTTTGCCTTTGATCGCTAGCCAACATTACCCCCTTCCATCTTTTACCTCTGCACATATATTCTACTTCTACCATGCCCGCTGAATATAAGCAATCCACCTGGATCAAGGAAATATATCCTCTAACTCTTTAGACTCCTCGATGCCAAGTCAGTTCCATTGAAATCTTCTCATCATGGAGATCTTCCTGGCGACCGCCTGCCATTAAACTCTGCGTTAAGTATTCACTTCACAAGACGACTATCGCTGATTTGCCAGAAATGGCCTCATCAAATGTCTTATTTCCAGTCAATCTATCACTTTTGTGATACCAAAATTTCTCTTATACCAACATTTCACAGTGAGACCCACATCTTCACTCAAACTACTCAATGTATTTCGCTTCCGCCCTTTCCAGGTTTCTGTTTTCAACACTGTTGAGTACTGTCATTTCCAGCTGAGAGAAATGAAAAATGTTCAGAATGCAAGTAGTGCATATACCCAGTTTGGTGTTATTGCTCTGTCCATCCAGAGCTTGAATAAGTTCCTGATCACCGATCTGTATTTCCAAGATACAAGTGCTCCGATACCTTTTCCAAAACTTTGGTGCTAAGGATCAGAAAGTATTTCCTCTGGGTTCCACCAATTTCCACCCACTTCGTGTTCTTAAGTTGAAGTCGTTCTTATCCTGATTAGAACATCATTGTTTCAGAGTTAGAAATAGTGATGTCACAGCTTCAAAGTTGTCCGTAATAAATACAATATCATGCGCAAATGCAAGAGAGTTTATACAGATGTTTTCGCCATAGCTTAACTGATCGTTCTTGGCAGAAGCACCCAGCCAACAAACATCGCAAAGACCAGTGGAGATTCCCTTTCTCCTTGCCTAACTCTAAAAATTGTACGAAAAAAATTGTTGAACCTCTCATCAATTCAAACTGTATGGCATAAAATTCTTTCTCTACTGCCTCTGCTGCAACTTCCTACTCCGCATGTGGGGCTAATTCCTTTGTAAATAAACCGGAACCTTGCCTTGCCATGACGATTCGGCCAGACATTATACTCTAGTGTAAAAGCGTTCCCTTTCACATTTCTACTGACTACCAGCATCTCTGTGAGCAACATCTGTTGTATTCCTTGTGCAACAGAAGATATAGTTTCCAGCAATCACAACGCTTTTTCCAAGATAGTACGTTGTACTGAGGCTACCTGTATCCTAGTCCGACTCGAATTATATTCCAATATAGTTAATTAAGATTATATATCCTACCATGATATATTGCATATCCAATCCCATCAATTCCTATATATAGTACCATTGCTAGTGCCAAGACTATGCACTGTTTACTGCTAGTTCGGTTGCTAGTTCGCTTTAGCTTAGGCTGGGGCATACACGACAATATGGTAAAAAATGAAATATTATCTGTCAGACTGAATTTGTTACACTCCATAACGGTGTAAACAATTTATTGTAATATCGACGTTAATACTGAATGAAGTTCTGTAAAAATAAAATTAATTTGATTATTATTGGTGTTACATTTACATATATCTATAACATTTTCCATTTTAAAGCGCTCACTTGGCGTCGGTCCCGCCACTCCTTTGTGACCGGTAAAATTTCAGAAAGTTTCTCGACAGCAACTGCATGCGCTGCAACACCGAGTTACTCAGAGTGGTGACGTCCTCTTCGTCGGCCACCTCACCACACTGCCAGCCGCCGGCCGCCGCCGTCCCGCGTCGTGTAGCTCGTCGACCGGTGCTGTCCTGAGAATCACTGGCCTGATGATCAGCGGTTGGGTGGCTGCTCTTCTCCATTTCCCAAAAAGCCGGCTTACACTCGAGTAACAGTCGCAATGCCTTCTCGTACGCCTTCAGCTTCAAACTGTGCGACGCGATATCTTAACACACAGGATGAGGCTAATTCAATAATCAACACATTCTCTACAAGACGTACTGTCGGCGTAAAGTAGCATCAGCAGCGTTCGCTCCAAATTGATGTGGATCAGATCCACGTAAGCATCTGATATCAATTCCAAATATCCGGCGGATGATTTTTCATAGTTAAGTTCAGCCAAATTCTTCCAATTTTTTGTCTTTGAGGTATTCACGCTATCCTACCAATAAATTAGCAAAATGTAAGTTGATTAGCCATCAGTGGTAAACGTGTTCCATTCCTTTTCATCGCAATGATAACATTGGCTTTGGTCGTATAATATTAAGCGTGATTTTGACAGGTGCAGTTCTTAACTCTGCATCGATCATGAACGAAAAATTTACGATTGCATGGGTAAAACGAGACATGAATCTTGACAGTAAAACATTGCACATTCTCTTCTATCATAGTTGGTTAGTACAAAGAATTTTCTTCACCGTTGACGACGGTGCTTAGCACAGAAACAAAGCACTCACGAATATGTAAATTAACCCTATGAAAAAGATATGCATCTAATAGCAGCACTGTATACAATACTGTATATTGCTAGAAAACGTGGCCACAAATAAATGTATGATTAACAATTAGTATCATGAAAATGTCTGATCAGATCACAAATTCAATATAATGGGTAGTGAACCACCAACGATGAGAATCAGTAGATTCGAAAGGTACCGATTCTGGGATACCGCTTCGTTTTACCTACTGAAACATGCTTCGAATGACGGTGGCTCAGTTCTCTAGAATTAAGGATTTAACCTGTAATCCAAAATCTATTTTCAGATTATCAGCAAAATTCGGTTCTCTATATCTTATACTCTCTTTAGTATTTATTACTACTGACATAGACATTTTTAACGCCAGCTGTAAAAGCACAGATACACGGAATCTTCGAAAAGTAAACTGAAACCGAAAACGCAAATAAGAATCTGCGTGATAATCTGAAACAAAATTGTAAAATACCCATAAAAGCTATCACCTTATAAATTCGAAGGATTACGGATGAAAAAAGTCGAATACAGAAAACAAAATGACCAGACTGTATCATCAACCGACAAAAGATCGAAATCGGTAGTTATGGATAAATGTAAAAATCTGAGGAACATAAAGGAATATTTGTTAACAAATATTAGCAGCAGCAATCCTCTAAAAGAGGAAAAATGCTAACCACTTTCCAAATATCCAAAATCTGCTTAAAAATCACATTAAAATAGTTATACCGGGTTGAAACGGCGAAAATGCATTGTGTAAAGAAAGAATAAAAGAAAACTCGATTTCCCATTTTACACCAGCAGCTATCACCGCCCCCTTGCTTCTAGACGCCTAGGGGGACCATTTAAGCGCCTGCCGTGCATAGGATGCAGAACCGCACCTCCATCCTTTTAAAAATACTTCTGATTCACTGGGATTGGAAGACCAGCTAAATTATGAGTTTACCCTGATGCGCACCAAAACTATATCTCCTTATAAAACGCACAAGCCTGATGAGCCTCTAAAGCTAATCATGTCTTTGGTTTGAAGCCTTACCTACGATCCGAATGACAACAAATAAAATACTTTAGAATTAAGTAACAGACGTTCGATGTTAATTGTGGAACAAAAAGGATCAGACACACGTCATATGTACATATGACTTCGCCGGACGCTGCGGGGTTAAGCGGTAATATGTTCACCGAGACACGACAGAATACCGTTTCGAAACGTGAACAAGAAAGAATGCAAACTTAAGGTCCAGCAACCTGAACTTGGAAGAAATGATGCATTTTATTAATATCATAACTATAAGCGTTAATTTTAAATTCCATAAGCGACAACTCTGCGCACAAACAGCATAGTGGTAATACAAGAAATAAGGGGAGTTCGCTTATGAACATATTCTCAGTCAGAACCTGTATTAATCATCTTAAACGAGATCGTCTAGTCTTCTATACCACAGACTTTATATATATATATAAATTCATCTTAATTTGCATACAAACATAAAGTGACGCTTCTCGGACATTCTTATTAAACGGGATGTCAAAGGTTCACTACCTTTGACAGTTCATAGAAAGCCACAGTTTGACCATCATCTTACCACTCCATCTTGTACTCCGAAGCCTGTTAACACCTGGAAATTGACACCTCATGTAATTTTATGACATGGTTGAAATGTGGCAATTTTGGCCCTGTAGACAAATCAATCGAGCAAAAACCCGACACCAGTAGTACAGCAACTACACGATGGAACCAAAACACGCAGACGAGGACCAAAAGTGCAGCCTGTGATATGAATAAACCAGGTCACATACCAAACTAACTGGACCAACAGTGATAATCTCTTCTTTTAATCTACATATCTATGGAAATCATGTGCCCGCAAGATAAGAGTCATCCCTTACGTGATCTTGGTACTCGACCCGGACTATACGTCAAAACCAACACTGTGACCATTACTACGTCAACTTATGTATGCTGTAGAACCGCCGTTTTTAACACTCCTTTAACACGACGGTCTTCATGACGTCTAACAACTAACTTAATCAATGGCAGGTATACCCGATATATTTGTGGATAGGGTTTATTCATTTTTTAGCCAAAACATTGTTGTTATTTTCAAATCGTCAGCTAAGGTTAAGAAGGCTTGGACAAGAACGTATCCCCGGATTTATGATTATAATGAACAGGTGATCAAAATCATTGGAGGCGATGACCATCTTGTAATTTAACTCTGCCTGAATGGTGTCATCCCTGAAAATGATGAAGCCGAGATGTACCTCAACTGGTAAACATACTCAACCGCTTCACTTCCTTGCACCATTCGCAGCTGCGCTGCTTTACAAGGGTTCCTCAAAATCTTTTACTTTTTGAGGCAAAGGGCAAGATCGACTTTCGCAGCCGTGTGCATTAGAAGCAACCGCCATGTAACGAAGCCTGCTTCCTGTATTATTCGCCAGAACTACACTACACCATTCTAGTATTTCAGGTGAGCAAAACACCTGACCAGACATCTAGAACATCGACCTTTAATTAAAATTAAATCCTTGTCTCTCCTGCTGGCTGTGATTCCATCACTAGATAGTAAATTCGAAAGTATATCTCCTTTCTGACTGGCAAGTTAACAGAAAATCACTCAACAGTCTCCTCAGAGTTGAATAGTACGGCTCCTTCACACACTGTAATTCTAACAGAAATTATCTGTGAAACAAACATTTAACCATATGAACGTAACTTATATCAGCAAATTCGACGATATAACAAGGAAAACGCATAACACAGAGGGACAATTCTGAGGGCCTGAGTAAAAATAGTTACTACTGCTGAACCGCTTCTCTTTAGAGATTTTTCATGAAAGTGGTACAGGGAAGCGTTTTCCGCGAAATAATATTTCAAAATACCTACCTTACTTGAGTTCTCGCGATACAACTTGTGGTACAGAGAACCAAGACGGTGGTAGATGACAGCGCGGCGGTAGGCGTAAACAGGAAGGCGGGCTGAATTTCTTTTACACAGCTCATCGATGGTGCGCAGTGCCTTGTGCATAAAGCTGGTAATGTCCTTTTCGATCTAACCAGAAATTTTTTTAAAAATTACGCAAAACCAATGCGACGAACCCATTACCTCACTACTGCTACAGTAGCTTGAAGGGGGTCGTTCCTGCAAATGAGTAGCTAATGTAAAGTAGGTCGAACACAGTTCCCATGCCACTGATTCCCACACTCCGGAATTTTCAGAAGTCGCTGAAGTCAACTCCATTGCGCGTCGGTACTGCTCAACTGCCTGAAATAAAAATATAAATGCATAGAAAGCGAAGTATTGGTAAAGGTAAGATCAGCAATAGAAAAGGAAATACAGGTCAAATACAGAAAAAACAATAACTTTTAGTCCTAGAACTGCCATATAATCTTGCAAAAACAAGCACCATGGGGATGTGATTTGTACCAAACTCTTCACCAGTTGTTTGGAAATGACGTTCTGGAGAATAAACGGAAAGAGTGAGATTAAAATCAGTGGTGAACTACTCAGCCATGTAAGGTTCGCTGGTGACCAGGAGCTGTTTACAAAAAACGCTACTCATCTACAAGACATTATGGCAAGAGCTCGACAGGAAAAGTTCAAACAGCGAATCAATCGCTTAAAAACAAAAATACTGCGATCAGATGCCCTGTCAAAGGACCAGGAAATATCGAAGGGTGAAG